CCCTGCATGTGGCAGGGGGGTTGGAGCTTCATGATCCTTGAGGTCCCTTCCAACCCTGGCAATTCTGTGATCACCTGTTACCCGGGAGCAGAGGCTGACTCCACCTCACCACAGCCTCCTTTCAGACAGTGGGAAAAAGCAATGAAGTCTCTCCCCTGAGCTCCTTTTCTCCACGCTGCCCCATCCTATTCCCTCAGCTTCTCCCCATCATGCCCCGCACAGCTCCGTGCCATTCTCTGGACACACTCCAGAACCTCAGTGTCTTGCCCAGAACTGAACACAGCACTCGTACCGTTATCCTCACAGTCAGTTATTTTTCAAGTTCCACAGTTGTTCCCCACATTAATGTTCATCAGAAGCAATACCTGTGGGGTTTTGGGCTGCTTGTGCTCTTGGTTTTACAGCCTGGAGGTGGTTTGGGTTCTGTCACCTTTGCTGTCGGTTCCTGCTGGCCAACAGCGCTTCAGGATTACGACTTTCATTAATTAAGTCCTTTGGCATTTTTAAATGCCTTACAATATTTATAGGTCTGGGGTGGAGACATTCCCTCTGGGAGGGCAGAAACAAGCCTGGAAAAAGCATTGAGTGTCTTTGAGGCACGGGATGTGGCAGGCTGCCCTCTGTTGCTGGTAAAAGCTGCTGGAAGGCAGGGCGAGAAAAAGCCTTTGGGTTTTGCTGCACTGCAGGCTCTTCGTGTGTTGCTTGTGGAAATGCTTTCCTACAATAGGTTTTCACTCCTCTTAAGTTATTAATTCGATGTGGATTCTGTCCATTTGATACAGTTCCTGGCGGTGAAGCCGGATGCTGAAGTGTTGACCCTGGGATGCCATACACGAAGTTGGAGAGGAGGTGACACCGAATCCACGTGGGCAGTGGTTGCAGTGTGACCTGTGGCCACAGGCTGGCCAGGCTGCGCAGGGCTTGGCGGTTCCACACGGCCGTAGGGAAGCTGTCCTCGACGTGGTAAGGCTGGGAGAAGTAGAGGCAGAGCGTGGTTTCTGGGTGCTTCAGCAAGAAGTTGTAGATTTTACTTATGCAACAATGGTAAGCCTCGTTACAAGGAGAGTAGTTTGAATAGAGGGTGATGCAGCCAGTGTTTCCGTAAGCATGTATCACTGCATCCAGATAACCGTCTGGCTCAAACAGCATGGATTCTGGGTGGCTGTCCTGCTCAGCACAGCTGCTGGCGTGGCCTTTTTGGACTACGGTGCCAGAGAAGCTCCTCAGTTCGTAGAAGAGAAGGTGGTGGGTTTGTGGATGTGCCGTGCTTCTGCATGGGAATCCAAAGGCCCTGAGAAACTCTGAGTAAGGAACTCTTGCTTCTTCACCTGTCCGTATGTGGTAGGGACACTTAGCACAGGTTTGGCTCTGTGTCTGCCAGCGATAGGGCTTTACCACTGTCCCCTGGTTTGTCAGATATTCTTGGAAAATTTTCTCTCCTGGGTTCATGTTCTGTTAGAATTCTCCCTGCTTATGTGCTGTAGAGCTGATAATCCTGAATAAAAAAAAGTGAAAGTAGTATTGCAATTTAATCCTTTGATTGCTTTTTCACGTAAAGTGCAAAAATAATAGTAGATAGCCTCTTCCAAAAATGTACTGAAACTCATAGCCTGGATTGGAATGGTGAGCCATAACACAGAGAACAAAGCTTTCTTGCTGCCTGAAAGCCATTCTGAGTTTACAAGCCAGCCTTTTTGCTAAAAACACGAGGCAAAAATATTTATCTGGCTTCTGCCCTCTTACCTCAGACAGGAGAGGCAGCATGGTGAAAACAGCTCTACTTTTCCAGAGTTAGCAGGTGAGTTTTTTGCAATCTGGCAGAACGAGCAAATAAATACCAACCAAAGGAAAAAGAATAAAGCTATAATTACCATCTCAGCAGCTCCATCTCAGGGCTGTAGTAAAAATCTTATGGTAAATATCTTATTTCCTTCACTGGCTTTTTAACATGATGGTTCAGAGTTTCCACACCAGTGAATCTTGCTTTCTTGTCCAAGCTGCTTGATGAAAAAGAAAGTCACTACTTCTTGCTGTGGTTTGGCAGCTCAGCAGAAGGATCTTTCCCAAAAGTGGTGCCTTTGCTCCACTTGTGCTAGGGACAGCAGGCAGGTTCCTTTGGCTGTGTTCAGGTGCCCGGTGCTAGGAGACAGGAATACAAACAGGATTTTCTTTCCTACCTCCAGCCACCTGCGGTGGTTAAGCTGCTGTTCTTTGCCTGTCAAGATTTGTTTCCTGCTTTAGTAAGCTTCCTTTGTTTCTTTAGTGCTGCTTTGATACAAGATTTTTACAGCTGCGGGATGGATGTTGATCTCATGAATACGTTACTAAATTTGATTCTAGGTCACTTATTTCTGTGTGTTCCTGCCTGTTGTGCCAGGTGAGCAGAGAGCTCCTGTTTTACTTCTGCTTTCATTTGAAGGCAGCAGTGTTGCCCCTGCATTTATGCCCTGGCTGAGGCTATAACTGAAGCAAACAGCAGGCCATTCCATGAGCGAGCTGCAGGTGTTTGCTTTGCATGGGCTCCAGATGAGTGCAGACACGAATGTTGTGTGGATGGGCAGCTTTTGAGGCAGATGATTGATTTTCCTCCCTGCCACTTGAACTGAATCACTCACCATCCCTGGATTCAGTTTAATTCTGTCACTACTTTTCTGGACTTACATTTTTTTCCATCTGCATATTTTATTTATTACAGCTTGCTTCTGCATTCCACACCGTGTTGTCCTCTGTCAGTATTTCATTTTCTTCTTAAATTACTAATGATTCATTTGCTTTGTTTTCCACTCCTGACTCTACGCCAACACCCATCTGTTTTCCTGTGTTGGGGCTCTTTCCTGATCCGGGCCATTGTTCTGTTCTCATTCAGATTACTTCTAAAGATTGGCTTCCTGACATCAAGAATGCTGCATTTGTCATTATTGATGTTTCTATACAATTTTTGATGCTGATGATGACTGTGCACTGCAATGTAATCATGGCAAGGGTGAGCGTATCCCAGAAAATTAAAGAAGTGTGTTTGCTGTCTAACATTTGTTCAGAAGAGGGCCACGGAAATGACCCAAGGGATGGAGCACCTCCCTGTGAGGACAGGCTGAGAGCTGGGGCTGTGCAGCATGGGGACGAAAAGGCTCTGGAGAGGCCTGAGAGCAGCCTGTCAGTATCTAAAAGAGAGACTGTAAGAAAGGAGGGGATAAACAGCAGGGGCTGTTGTGATAGGACAAAGGGAAATGGTTTCAAACTATAAGAGGAGAGGTTTAGACTGGATATAAGGAAGAAGTTTTTATGAAAAGAGTGGTGAGGCAGTGGCACAGGCTGCCCAGAGAGGTGTGGGTGCCCCATCCCTGCAGACAGCCAAGGTCAGGCTGTGATGGGCTGTGGGTGTCCCTGCTCAGTGTGTGTGGAGGGGGGGTGGAGCAGATGGCCTTTAAAAGACCCTTCCAGCTCAAACGATTCTATGATTCCGTGATACAAAGAGCAGGACGGAAGAAGGGAGTGTTTTTCGTCGTGGAGGGGCGTTACGAGACCACCTCTGCAGCTCTCCTGGAGGTCGCCTCCCTTCAGAAAGCTGCACGGCTGTGGCAAGGCTCCCATTCCCTGTCCCTGCTGGCGGAGCTGGGTGGCCGCACGGTGGCAATGTTGCACACCAGAGGTGGATCGCACTTGGGGCTTGTTAACTCCGTTTCATTGCGTTTAAAGGAACGCCACCAGAGAGACCTAAAATTTTACATCTCTCTCTATTACTTGGTGATTTGGCCAGATCCATACCTAGCAAGCTTTCCATCTTTCACCTAATAGCGTTGCATCTTTACCTGGTGGCAGTCAGATCCCCCAGTACCCCTTTGCTGGGTTGGTTGAGACGGTGCTCGCAGGACCGAGTGCATTCCTGTGTGAGCTGCAGCTCACAAGTCGTTTTAACTGATGGATGGATGCCCGTGCATGTGGATGTGTGTGTACATACATGTGCATGTGCATTGAGCAGCTAATGGGAGCACACATCACTCAGCTGTCATGCACAAAAAATGCTGTTTCCACTCACAATTATATTTAAAACTATTGAACAGTTCTTTAGCATTAGTCATCTTCAAAATCGTTCATAAATCTGACCAAAAGGTTAAAATATCGGCTGGCGCAAATGGCTTTCTCTGTGGTATTTCTGCTGTTTAGTGTTACTTAGATCCTGTGCAGAAGAAACTGTGTAAGTGGTTCCTGGCTTTCAGGGTGCCTGATCTGTCCCAGTGATCCTGATCTATCTGCAGAAGTAGGAGATGCTGCAGTTCATAGTTTAGATAAGTCTGAAATTTGGAATTAATGTGGTTTTGGGCTGGGAAATAAAAAATGCAGGTACTCCCAACAACTCTTGCCTTTTGTGGGAGCTCTTGACTTCAGTGTTTGCAGCCCTTAGTTCTGTGAAAGAAGAATTTTGCCTGCTCTGTGTCTTATTTTGCTCTGTAGTTGTTTCTGAGATGGCTTTCCCAGTGCTTCCCCGCAGCACTTTGTGAGCCAATAGGCTGTTCCACGTTCTCAGAAGGAATGCTAAATTTCAAACATTTAACCATAAGTCAGGCTGCTAGGAAAAGTACCATCTTCATCTATCAATATCATTGCCATGACCTGATGCAGAGGATCCTGTGGAGCGGATACAACCAGGAACTCAAAACATATGTTAAGGAATGAAAGACACCCCTGTCCCCTCCAGAAACGTAACGGGGAGATAAGGATATAATTATCATTAAAAAAGTAGTTTCACTTATTACTAAAACACAGCCGTCTCTGGGGCAGAGGGCAGTAGTTGTTTAATAGTGCTTCACAACGCAGCATAAATGTTCGCAGGAGGAACCAGAGAGGAATGCTGTATCCAGTTAAAATCACAGGGGAAACTTCTGTGGTCAGAATGTAATTACTGAGGTTGGAAGTTAGCCAGGAGACAAGCCATATGTTCTGCTCCTAGGGAAAAAAAAGGCACAACGAGGGCCCTGCTATTTTTTTGTCCAAATATTAGCTAAAATCTGGGATTGCTTCAATATAAAGAGATGCTGATCCATCCCAGTGCGGCCAGCTTGGAATTCAGTGATCGTTTACTGGTGTAACCATTGTAAACTTGGGATTCCTTGATTTATGAAGATGTCTTCTGGAAGTAAAGTTGCACGCATTGATTCAAGACAATATCAGGATTAGGCCAAAGCTATTTTTCTGGGGTGAGATTATATGGAAGTATGAGCATTTTTTTCTTCAATGACTGAAACATGCTCTGCTTCCATAGTCTCACACCAGAGTAATTCTGTTTATGTGGGGGATCTGCTGCTTCCCCCCCAAGCACCACACTCCTGTACAAGAATGGTTCCTTTTTTTTGTTGCTGAAATACAAGTGTTGAAATTCTGTAGCACTTCTTAGTACGGTTTGGTTCAAAATAATCTCTGTTGGAAGCATTTCACACATGACTTCATTCAGTAAGAAGTTTATCTGAGTTCAAAGTACAGAGGAGTCACATGGCCCTTACCCAGCCAGGGCCTTGAAGTTCTTGTGCAGTCGTAGGATTTTAAAAACAAGGGGCAAAGACAGCGAGGTTCTGGGGCACAAAAGCAGCAGGACTGCATATGCTTTGCCTATTTAGGATTTGGGACTAATAGTCCTGCAGAAGCAGCAAAAAAAAAAAAAAAAAAAAAAAAGAGAAAGATGTATTTTGTACCAGAAGTGTTTAAGAAGGGAAAAAAAAAAAGAAACTTTCTGCTTCTTGTTGAGACTGTTGTTGATTTGTTGGGTACCAGAGCAGTGCACGTTATCAACTTACTGCAAAATCATTCTTTGTAGCTGAAAGTCACCTATTGTGACTGTTTGGAAGGGATGAATGTTGTGTTGAGGATGTGTATTGAATGTGTTGGGAAACGTAAGCTAGTGAGAGCTGAATGGTGTGTCTGCAGAGCTGTGGTGGCCTGGGAATGTGATGTGCTGAGGGCTGAAGTGATGCGTTTCAGTTTTGTTGTTTCCAGTTTTGCTCCACTAGGGGAACTGAAAAAACTGAGAATAAGTCCCCTTATTCTACCAAGTATACATATGTGATCAAATTAACAAACGTGAGGGCTTCTGCTGATTGCACTGGCACCGGTTATATGCATGAAGTTAAGCAGATGTGTAAATCTTTGCAGGGTACAGGGCTAGAACAGTAACAGCTGCCAAAGATGATTTAGTTATACTGTAGGAGAGAATGTACTGGCTGCTCTGCTTGTCCTATCACAACAGTGTCTGTCCCCTCCTTTCTTACAGCCCCCCTGTAGATACTGGAAGGCCACTTCTCTTCTCCGTGCTGAACAGTCCCAGCTCTCTGATGTCAGAAAAAAGATGTTGAATGACAGCTCCATATGCCATGATTCTTTGTATACATCTCAAATAAAATAGGACCCAAATTTGCACTGTTATGACATCCAACCTTCAGCAGTTCCTGAGCCTGGGGTTAAAGTTCAGCCACTTTTACTAGAATAAAGTGTCATCAGCCTTCATATACCACTTCTTTCAAACCTGAAAGACTTTTCAAAACTGGCAGAAGTGAAAAGCACTGAAATTCTTTGGATTAACCTGATTGTGTGAGCTGGATTCTTGTCTCAAGGGCTAAGTATGAGTTTTGCTAGCAAAGGGTTGGCATCTGCAGTTCATATTTGTTCATATGTCTCTTTTTCAGGTAGAACAACGTTCTTAAACCACATCCAGAAACAATCAGAATATTTTACGTTGGAAAGGGCCCACAAGGGTCATTGAGTCCCGCTCCTGGCTCAGAGAACACTGAAGTGTCTAAGGTAATTCTGCTTTGTTTGGGTGGCTTATACTGACATGTTTCTTCCTGCACACCACTGATTGTCTCATCACTTATTCACTTTTGCTTTGGCTTCATCTGCAGCAGTGCGAAGGGTCTGGTGCTCTAAATCACCACTACCTCAGAAAAACTCACAGTTTTGACTGGATTTGGTAGAGTTCTAGCTCATGACAGTGTCACTACTGGTTTTCTGTTGTGAAGAGGAAACAGTTTATTTCATATCATTAAGGACCCTGAACTTGCTTCCTCTTTTGCCAGCACAGGTGAGAGAAGGGATGGCATCCATGTTGGTGAGATTTGTGTGGATGGTTGAGGTGCCTCATCCTGCACTGTGAAGCTTGATATTACACGCTTGTCATGTGCCTCCTGCTTCTCTAGGTTTCCAATCCTCCTTCTCTCGGATAATTTTCTCTTCTTGGCAAGGTCACGCTCTTCTTAACCTCTCCAAGGCTTTTGGAGTTCTTTAGCTTTCAAAGAAGCCTAGCTGTTTTCTAAAGAATGCTGATCCACAGTATCCTTCTGTCATCATCTCCTGATTTTATCTTTCAGTCCTCCTCTTTTCAAAGAAATCCTTTTTGTAGCTTCTTCCTGGAATCTAACAGCAGTGCTTCACAGTCCTTTCCTGGATCTTCAGGGTGGCAGTCCTGGGGCCTTTCTTGTCCCATTCCTCAGGCCTTGGTCAATAATTTTTTCTTGTGGCTTCTTCCAACCCTCTGCAGGAAGGCCTTTTTCATATGTATGTATGCTGTCTGACTCTTACTTCGTTGGCTTTCTCTGCAGGCAAGGAACAGGTTTTCTCAGCTTTCCTGAGGAGGGCACGATTGCACACTCTGACACGGATGGATGATCAGAACCAGACATTTGTGTGCTCAGGTTTCAAGGAGCCGTGTGGGTACAGTAAACAAGAGTTGTTTGCTTTATATTCCTGTCCAACAATCTCCTTAAAGGCTAGAACACCTTTGGTTTGTGAAGCTCAGAACATATATATGTCGGTCTTTTGTGCTAGAAAATACTGTCCTTGAGTCTTCATTCCCAGAGACCATAAAATGAAATTGTAGCATTTGCTGCAAGGAGTTTTGTGAAACTGTGCACAGTTCTTGAAGTGAAGACTGCTGAAGAGGGTGTGCTATTGAAGTGGAAGGCAGAGTGGGATCTTGATGTGTTACTTATCAGCATCCTAACATCTGACCACCCAACAAATATTTTTGGAAAGAGTATGAAACTACAGCTTTCACTGGACAGAGATGAGTGGTTCAGGTTTTGATTATTCTTTTTCTCCTGATTTTTTGCTTAAGGATGAACTGCTGAAAGTTTGGTGAGTGGTTTGCCAATTTTTGGATAAAGTTCACATGTTGCAGTAGGTTATTTCTTTGCTTGCATATGGGAACAATCTGACTCCAAGCTTAAAATGTGTAACCAACCGCATCATAAAACTGAGAAAATATGTTTCATTATTAACTGATTAAGAACTCTGTCTGTCAGTTAGTTTCTAATACATATTGAAGAGAAGGAAAAGTTGTTTAAAAAAGAGATTGCAATTTTCTGGATTAGGTAGAGGTAAAACCAGAGAAAATGAAAGGCAAATGTTTTCTGGCTTTCGAATATTGTCAAAAATAAAGCAGGAAATTCTTGAGTCAAGAATAAGCTTTAAGTACCTTACAGCAGGAAATGCCAGCAGCCCTCCTTCATATTTCATGTTCTCTGTGCCATCTTGAGATGCACACCGTCACATCCATTTGAATGGCACTCCTCCTCCTCCTGACACCTGTCTCTGCAACACTCATTTCAGTGGCCTTCCTTACACTCTTCCTACTCACCTCCTCAAGGAATGTGAGTACTCTCCTCCTGATAGCTCTCCACTGGGTGTTGCTCCCGTTAGGCTATAAAAGTGGGCCATCTCCTTAGTCCTGTTTCAAGGAGGAGATGCTGCAACTTTTTGCATCGAAATGCAGACTTGTCTCATAGCAGCGAGGAGTGCAGAAGGGGAATGACAAATAAAGAATGTTCCAAGTTTCATAGGGTGACTAGTTTAAATGTTAGGATTGTAAGAAACATAAGAAAAAAGATAGGATTTTGTTTGCTTTTGGTCATGAAAAAAAATACTTTTCATTGAGTGTGATCACAGTACAGATCCTAGGCTGATAATTTCTTCCCTATTACTGTATAGACTGTTTCCAGTATGCTTTGATTGTCAAACAGTTGGGCAACTTTCCTCTTAACCTATGAAAAAAAAAAAAAAAAAGAAGTGAACTTGCTAAGAGCCTCTATTTGTAGACAGAAGGCCAAACAGAAAATTTAGAGGTGAAAAAAGAAGAGAGTTTGTCTTTTTTAAAGTTAGAATATTTATGAGTTGGGTTCTATTTAGCTATATAGGACTGAAAAATGCAGTAAGGTTGACTCTAATGAAACACATGAAGCAAGCAGAAAGAAGAAATGACTGCAGTGACTGTGTGCTATCACAGAATCACAGAATGGCCAGGAAGGGACCCCAAGGAATCTCCAACCCCCCTGCCACATACAGGGCCAACCTCCACATTTCATAGCAGCCCAGGCTGCCCAGGGCCCCATCCAACCTGGCCTTGAACACCTCCAGGGATGGATGGGGCATCCACAGCCTCTCTGGGCAGCTGTTCCAGCCCCTCACCACTCTCTCTGTAAAGAACATCCCCCTGACATCCAACCTCAATCTTCCCTCCCTCAACTTCAATCCATTTCCCCTTGTCCTGCTGCTATCTACCCTTTCCAAGCATTCACTCCTCTTCGCCACATTCCTATTTAAAGTGAAGATAATCACTGGACTCAAAGAGCCATTCTTCATTCTTAGAATACATCGGTTCAGAAACTAAATTGAGGCTTAGTGTCAAATGATCAGCATGACTACAGATTGCTTCAGTGAAGATCAGCAGAGCTAGGCTGGTGTCCAAAAGGATATGGCTGGGGAAAGTTTTACCAGTACTTGTCCTAAGTATTGTGAGGCAAAAATATTCACTTGTACTCTTGCATGACCCATGAGCTGTGTATGTTTAGGAAATTGCCCTAATACTCTATCCAATCTGATCTCACTTCCAGTTGTCAAACTATTTCCTTTGAAATAAATGGAGTTGTGCTGGCATAAAAGCAGAGTAAAGTTCTGACTACACCCCGGTGATGGCATGAAGCAGGCAAATCAAAATTAGTCAGTGCAATTAGAGGTGAGCACACCTATCACCTCCCCCTTCCAAACCAGCTGCCAAGGCATTCAGATCAAACAGACTGACAAACACTGATTGTGTATCAACAAGGAAGAGGAGGAGGAGGCCGGAACGAGGTGTTCTTTGGGAATACCCAGGCGTGCCTGTGGGTGTTTTGTCTGTGGGGTTTGGGCCTGGGTGTCCCAGTCAGCCTCTGCTGCCCTTGTGACCTTTGGAGTTATTTACAGAATTGGTCATCAAAGAACCAATAAATAGGACTGTGTGGTGCCTGTTTCCAAATGGCTTGGTGGGGCTCAGATTGTTATTTCAGGCTGCTGTATCCCTCCTCTAGTCATTAAAGCAGGAGCAGAGTGCAGAAAGAGCCACTAGTTTTTCTCTATTTAGCTCACCCATGTTCTTTCAGTATGCAGATACGAGTGTCAGCTAAATAACACGATTCAGAATCTGCTGGTCTCTTGCAGAATAAGACTTTTTATAGTGTAGGAAAATCTGCTTTCAATTTCTATTGTAAGGCGTTATTTTAGTCAATGAAAACAAAGTATGCTTGGGAGGCTGCCTAGAAGACATGTGATTTCAGGGCATTGCTATTTTCTTTTTGATGAGAAAAGAACTTGCTTTTTTCTTCTATGTCATGGTCGGATAGAGTGATGTATTCAGTGTGGATGGTGGGAATTCATTCCCACTCCTTTGATACTCTCTACATGGGGACTGATTGAATGGGGGAAGCTATTTCCATGTACAGCACTGAAGTTTTTTATTTAAGCTAACTAAAATTCATGTAAACCACCTGAATTCTGTTAGCCGGGTAAAAATTGCAGTGTGAATCTTGTTTCTGGTTATGTGCAGTGTTCAAATTAAGCTGGTTTTTATTCAAAATCATTTAGGAGAGAACTGGGCAATTCCTGGTATAACTGATGGACAGTGGGAAGCTGGACATTTGTGTTACTTGCACTGCTGATTAGCTTGGGGTGCAGCAAGGAAGCAGAAGTAGAAGTGGATGAAAACAGAAACGTGGGAGTATCACTGGCTGTGCAGTGATTCCTATTTACAGCATAAAGGACTTCCTCTCTCTCCATTTTCTACCCCCTTTTCCCTTTTGCCAGTGTTAAACTGCAAGAATTGCATGACCTCATTTTGTTTCCTACGTGATTTCTTGACCAAATCTGTTGAGGTTTCCTGTGTTCTCAGTGTGGTGTCTTGTTTAGTGGTAGTAGGCGAACCTCAAAAGGTTCGGATTGCAGATGTAGATCAGATAAGCAATGAAATTATCTATTCAAATTAAGCCTCAAGGGTCTGCAGTCTCATCCTTCCTGCTCCTGGTTATGTTGAAAATGTCTCAAAGCCTTCTGTCCAGATATCCCCAGACACTGTGTGAGGTGTAATGTTTGTGCTATTTTAGAGTGATAAACTTGTGGGTGAGAAATGTCTTTTTTATTTTTTCTTTCTTTGGAATTTGACTATTTTCAAAGTATCCATGCCTCTTCTGCTACAAGACCCTTGTTGCAGAACTTCTAAAACACTTTTACAAATACCAATGGAATGGGCTGCACATTTCTCTGAGCTATATCTACAAAGTCGCAATACAACTCTTTTTCTCTTCACTGTTCAGAGCAAGAAACTGAGGTACAGGTGAGTTACTGACTGAGCCAGGAAAGAATCCAGATTCTTCCAGCTTTGTGTCAGCAGCAAGGCTAACTTTCCTCACAACAGCAGTTTCTTCCACTGCCCCAATGCTTGTGTGTGCCAGCTGTTCCCATTCCAAGCCAGATGTGCTGTAGCACAAACCAGAAGTAAATGTTATGGGTAGCCTTCTCACATTCCCCTAGATTTGACCCTTAGAGAAATACATCAGAGGACTGTAGGTCAGCATCACATCTGCAAAGAGGGGAAAAAAAAGAAAAAGACTATTTCAGAGAATCCCAGCATCCCCTGCAATCTGCTGAGTCACACAGCACCACCAGGTGAGCAGGTCCTGAGTCAGATCTGACAGCCCATTTGGTTGTCCTTCTAACCAGCATACTGCAAGTATGCTTCTAATTGATATCAATGACAGGTTCTGGAGTGAGGTTGTTTGTTTGTTTGTGTTGCTGCTTGTGTATGAAATAACAGCCTCATTCTTTCCAGGTTTTGCTCTGCTGGTTCCTGGGAGTGTGTTTACAATATCCTGCACTACAATACTGTGGTGCTGCTGTCAGCTGTAGGACATAGCTGTGTGTGTGGTTGATTGCTGGATGTGAAAGATGGTGGCTGTGGTGCAAGCTCATTCCCACCTGCCTAGCACAACCAGGAGGGCTGGATCTCATCGCAGCAGTGGGTGAGTGGAAGAGTTGGGCTGTTGATTTCCCTTCCTCACAGCACCAAAGGATGTGATCTTTTGGGAGTGCACCTCAAGGACTCCATTTCCTTGCATGCCATTATTTTCTACAAGGCCTAGCCAAGAGGAGGAGCTGTGTGCTTTTTCCTTTTTGAGTGACACCGGAGCGCTTTCCTGATAATACCCTGCTCTGCTTCTAAGATCAGAGTTGGCAGAAGCTCTGCAGAGAAGGAGGCTCTGATCTTTGCTGTCTTCCTATCTGTGGTTGGCTGACGCATTACTGAGATGGATTCAAAGCCTCAGAGCGGAGGACCTCAGCCTGTTGATTAGGGAGATGTGAATTCAGTTCCCAAGTTAGCATTTGGGCTTAGACCTGCACTGCACGGTGTGATTGATGTACGTGGAGCGGTAGCCTGGAATGTAAAACCTTAACATTTCTTCAGCTTCTTGCTCCTAATGGCTGTTCAGGTAGGGGCATAAAGATTTTACAGGCAGTGAGCTGCCAACAGAACCTACTGACTAGAGCAAAGAGCGACAAGTCAGTCTTTCTAGGATCTATTCCCAGCTCTTGCACTGAGCCAATCCCTCCCAGTATTTTAACTGCTAGTGTTTCAGTTCCTGCTCTGTAATGTTCATCCTTGTAACAGTTCATTCTTGCTTCTTAGAGGGTTGTGGGATGTTTAATTCAGTAAGAATCTGTGAAACGTGAGGAGACCTGATGAGGGATCCTGAACTTTTGAGAATAAGATGAGTTGTAATGTCCTAAGTTGTTCTGAAGTTAACAGTGAGTCCTTTGTGCTCATATGGTTTGCCTACCAAGTCAGATCATAATTGCAGGTAATTCATTGTTCTGCACAACCCTTTGATACACTTCAGTTGAAGGACTTAGTGTAAAATCATATCCTTTATAGACAAATTAAAACAGATTTGGTTGTGAAAAATGTACATCTGGCATAGTTGTGCCTTTTGCAAAGGGCTGAGGCTTTTGTATACCAGAATGGGAGAAAAATCTTAGTGTGAACTAGGAAATACCTAAAGATCTGGAATTTTCTTTTTCTTTAGACTTTCTGATGCTTTAGCAAGGCTATGTCTGGATTTCTCATCAGCTCTTGAGAGTACCTTGAGTAATTCATAACAGCACTTGAAAAGACAATACAGGGCAGCTTGTGCATGTTTGTTAGGTGTTGGTGTTTTGATACTTGGTTTTACTTGCATACATAAAACTATATAAATTCTAAGGGTGGGTTTTGTCAGATGTGAGTGCCATGTAGTTGACCTCTTCTATCTCTGTTTTAGGTGTGAGTGCTCAATACCTGAACCTTTAAAACGCCGTGGTTCCATTTTGATGCCAGTGTAGAATGCACCAGGTGAAGTGTTTTGCTGCCTCTAAGTTTCTCAGTCCACACAGTGTGTTGTACTGCTTGCTGTGCACAGGGCTTTTTGCTCTGTAGTGCCATAGCCCACTGCTTCCCTTTCCATGATCACAGTTGTTAGTGAGTATTGTTGTATGTATTTGTTAAGTGTCCAACGTGACTGATTTTGCTCTATGGACTCCGTGAGATTTCTTCCTCTGTGAGGACATGGCTGCATCTGCATGGTTGCCTTCTTGTGGGCAGATGGATTGGGATAGCATAACATATTGTCTGGTCTGGAAGAGAGAAAGGATGATGAATGACCAGGCAGGATATATATCCACTTCTGAATTATCAGAATTCAATAGTTTGCCATCTCTGTGTAAATGGAAATCACACATGGGCTGCGTGTTAGTTCAGGACTGTAAACCACTGTGAGTCAACCAGTATCAAATCTGTGTCTGGTTCTGCTGGGGGAGCCTGAATTTCAGTTCTGTAAAAGCTTTGTGAAAATCTTTAGTGTGACTTATATAGTTGTCCAAGTTGGCCAAGACACCTATTTTTGAGGTTTTAGGGTATTTTTTAGGGTTTGTTTGCTTGTTTTGTGTATAATTGTGACTGATCTCTTCTAAAATGTTTCCTAATTTCACTTTGCTCCAAAGCATTGCCTCATTTTCCAAGAATATTTTTGAATTCTTTCTAATCTCCAAACAACACTACTTATTGGCATGAGCAAGTAAGGATAACTTCCTGTAGCCTGTATTTCATTTGAATCTTGAATCGCTTTGCGGATCTCAACTCAGCTTAGCAGAGCAGTAGATGTTCCCCAGGTAGTAATGCGAATGTCATAAAATCAGTGCTTGGATAGAAAAGAGAATTTCTTTCATGACCCCACTGTGAGAAAAGGTTCCAGCTGGAGCTCCAGAAGTTTCTCCTCCACTTTCCTGTTGTAGGCCAGTTGGCACAGACAGGCTGCTTGCATGGCCAGTGGTGGCCACACAGTGGTGACCATGCAGCCCAGCTATGGTGTGTGCTGGTTTTTGCGTGGGAAGGAGAGGAGGGTTGGGGTGTTTGCAAGGGGCTCGGGTTATGTGGAGGGAAGGTTGGAAGGACATGAGTCACATGTCAGGAGGAAGCTGGGTCTCATTCATTTGTACAGCTGATTTGCTGCAGCTCCATGTTAGTGGATTTCTAGACAACCCAAGTCTCTGAGTTCCTCTGTATTTCTTCCAAATATGAGGCTTGCTGAAATCTATCGTTTGTGCTCTCATGTGTGTTTTTACACACTCCCAGCCCCAGAGGTCAGAACTAATGAAGCCTGGTTTTCTACTACTTAGTGCTTTTGGACTGATTCAGGATTCTAAGGAGGTATATGCTCTGAATGCATTGTTTCACAAGGATGGGGCATTTTTATCAACAAAATGGTAAAAGCACTCTTCCTTTCCAGCTATAGATTTCCATGAACCGTACAGTGGCTTAAATTTCTGTTAAAATTGGCTTGAATCCACTGGTTTAAGGGGGAGAGTGGCAGGCAACGTGACTGTAGGAACACAGGGGAAATCAAGTTGAAGAAGAAAGAGTGAGCTGATCTAATTCCTTCAGTGTTGTTCTACAGATTAGCCAGCTGAGCACGCAGGGTAAGGCTGATTCCTGACACTTCCCACCATCTCATCAGGCTCTGGCCACTTTGGTTAAGAGTTTCACAACTTCCTACTAGCTTCTAAACCTCTAGGCTTTGAGTTTCTTCAACATGTACATAATGCTGTAGGACTTAGGAATAATCAGGTTGCACTTGTCACACCCTCAGTTCCTTGTTCAACAGATTTTGGTTATTTGGGTAGCTGGAAAACAAGCAGTGAGTGCTGTACCTGGGGGATGCCCAGGCAGGTCAGCAGCTGCATGTCCTGGGGCCTGCTGGAGCTGCTGTTGTGTGGGTACTCTCACAGATTTAGTGGCAGCTTTCTTTGCAATGGAAGCATGATAAACCTGAAAAAATTCCTCTTTGATTAAATATTGTTTCAGATGACGTTTACCCAGCTCTGTTCTGTATTGTTGCTGGCCTGAATACCTAGATCAAAAGAGGCTGTAAAACAATTCCTCAAATAATTGAGGGAGAAAAGGTAATTTGGTGACCTAGATAAGAAACATTTTTACCGGTACAATAACCATACCAAAGTCATGGAGTGGGACTCCAGAGTCCCCTGTGTCTGTCTCCCATAGAGACTAATTAAGCTTTGCTGCATATTTTTGGTGTACCTGTGAAATATCTGCATTAGATTTGGGTGTTATTCTCTAATTCTTTATAAGCATGGGAGAGCGATAAGGCTATGGAGGGTAAAAAATTTGTTGTTGTAGGACTGTGATAGCAGATGGGTACTGGAGTATTCTGATCCTAAAATGAGTCATAACTTGAATGCGATGCATGTTGTGACTTTTTACCTTAAGCCTTTTTATTAATTGTGGAGTAACGGGCAAGTTACATGCCCTGCATATTATAGGCAGTGCATTTGGTTTTGATCTACACTGGTTGTACATAATGTGCAGGTTGGTTGCAACATTCATTTAATGTTAATCAATATTTTGTATAGTCAGTTGGATATTACTTTGGAATATTTGTTTCCATTCTCCTCTTTTAAAGGCTTTCATCATCCCCCAGCTGAAGCCTGAACAGGAGGAACCTGCAGTGTGTCCCCTGAGTTGTCCGAGGGCTGGCAACAAGGTTGCAGTGAGGGAAATGTAAGGTAATTCAAGAAAAGGAGGTAGGGAGAAAAGGAAATGGAGCTATCCTGTCATTCTGACAAGTGATGGGAGTGCTGCCATGACACAGCCTCAGGAAAAGGATAGGCTGCAAATTTCTAAGCCTTGGAGGTGTAGTACTGCTATCTCTCCCTTCTTTCTTCCCCACTCACCAAACCATTAGTTGTCTACAAAGTAGTTAAGGGTTAGTTAGTATTATCTAAGTGTGATTGGTGATGAGGAGCAATTAGAAAGATCACATTTCCTTAAAAGGAAGAAATGAACAAAGCTGAAAAAAAGGAAAATGCAAGGCTGGAGTGTTATCCAGTATCAGTGTAGTAAAGAACAAATACATAACCTTGCCTGAACCTAATTATCAGTCTTTCCTGACTTCCCTGGAAATTTAGATGCTGGGTGTCTTCCAGAACCCAACTACAATCTCAGATGCTTTGAGATTTAAATGCGAGGAAGTTAGCAAGTAATATTGAGATTTTCAAATTAAAGCCCAAGAAGCAGTCTGATTTAGAATAGCAGGACTTCATGGCTGTAATCCTTGGATTAAACGTTGGCTTTCTTTACGCATACAGGCAGTGTGTTTCTCAGGGGGAAAAAACAATCTATCAAAACAGACTCGAAGCTGGGAGAGATGTGATGATAGCTGCACAGCCAGGATGGCTTTTCTATATGGTAGAAAGGAATTGAAAGTAAATCTCTTGGTGTTCAGATGAAACTGGACAATATCCTCATGTGTCTGAGCGACAGCTGCTAGGATTACAGCCACATAATTATCAATCCCATCTGGCAAGTTCTCCCTGCACCCCAGTGCAAGGGTGATATAAACATAAGAGCTGAAGATAATGCAAGCATTACTTGTTGTTTTCTAGGTCTTAGTAGAGTTACTGGGGGATTCACATTCAGGTGTTCAAGATAGAAAATTATTTGTCTTCAAACGAAAGACAGGGCTTTCTGGGGAATAATTAGGAGGCTCTTCACAAAAAATGCTGAATGAGATAAAACAATGATGTATGGCAAGATGGTATTCTTGGGTCACTTGTCTTAGGATACACATCTGGCCTAGGAAATGTATACTCTCACCTTGAGACATCAGTCAGGTGGTGATTCAGAACAACCATCTGTTGCTCTGCATTTCCATTATTTTTGGAGGCTGTCTTTAGGTTCAGACATTATAGCTGTTCAAGCCCAGGCCATTCCTGCACAGTCTTTTTTCATTAAAGTTATAGTTCTGGTTGCCACTTGGTGGAAAGCTTTTTCCATGGCTCAGTGGTTGGATGAGGTTGTTAATACGTTCTGTGTTACGGGAGAGTGAATGCATTTATTTAAAAACAGAGCTGAAAATAACATCTTACAGAAGTCATCATGAGTTTCTTTGTCAATGATTCTTTCTTGTTTTCAGCCTCTGTTCCTTTTTGTTTCTTTCTATAAGGACTCATTCCTAGGCCACCAGGCCTGAATGGAGAATAGGAAGTCGCTCCAGCTGTTTTCCTTGTGTTGGCACTCTGTGCTGAACAGGAATTGCTGAGCAAAGAACATCATTTCCCCAGAGAGGTTTGCTGGAGTAGCACAAAGCAGTCTGGATTTTTTTTAAATTAAAAGTTCCTGCCAAATACTATCATCAAGGGTTGGGGGACGAGGGGAAGAAAGAAATATATGAAGTTCAGAGTCCACTTGGAAGAGCAAGAAACCTGCCTGGGACAGCAAAATGGCAATGTTTTCTCTGCTGAACTCTTGGGTTTTAATATATAGCATACCATACCAGTAAGGAGGACTGTTTTCTTTCCTTCTTTTCTGTGAATCTTGGTTATAAATACTGCTCTTCCAACGAAGTTGGACGATTGTGCAACTTTGCACTTGGTTTTGGACTAACTAGTGGAACAAAAAACAAGCAGAATTCCTTCTCTTAAGTGGGTGCCAAATTATCGACTGACACATCACGCACATTGTGGTGATAAATGCACGTCTGGTCGTGGTTTGCAGTGAGCTTAAATTTTATGGAAAACAAAAGAAAGATATAAAAGCAATGGCTTTTTTGCTTCCTTTTCAGTCTGCAGAAGGAAGGTAAAAAAAAAGCACCAAGACATAAAGAATAGTTGACAGGTATTTGGGGGAACCAAGTTGATGGAGATATCACACGCCTTGCTGGCCAGGTTTAATCCAGGATAAATCCATGAGGACTGAAGCTTGCTGCCACCTGATGCTGTCTGCTGCTGGATGGGAAGCATATCTGGTGGTTTATTCCAGTCCTCAGAGTGCTGGTAGCCACCTTGCAAACTCCTTCCTTGTATTTGATGCTTTCTGATGTTCTCACTGACTGTGTTACTAAATTGCCTTCATTTGAGTAGCCCTCTCTAGGAAGGCAATTTTAGGTAAGGATTTTGTTGTGGATGCAAGTCTGTGTGTTTGAGCTCATACTTGGAAGATCCTGCAAAATTCTTGTAGCGTGGGAGGCAGCTGTGGCTATAGCAAGACTGACAAATTGCCTATCTAGTGTGTATTGTGCTCCTGTTGTGGACAGCTCTGCAGTAATTACTTACAGGAAAAGTTCTTTCATGGATCCTGTCAGTGTTGTTCTTATAACCTGGAGTGAAAGAACATAATACCTCCTTGACTTTTTTTCCCCAGTGTTTTCTAATGTAACTGCATCATCTATAATTGTCTATTTTTGTTTTCCAGTTCAGTTCATCTTCCTGAACACAGTAACATATTGCACAATTAATTTGCCATTTGCAGTACTCCTTTGAAAAGAGTATCTTCCGTCCTGTTTATCGGTGTGTTTGCAGCTGAACTCTGGAGATCAAAACAGTTGGACTCTACTCGAACTTTTGTGCTGCTCTTCAACCTTAGCCAAGTTTAAAGGCCTTTCTTGTTTTGTTTTTTTTTAATCTCCTTGTGGAGATCTAAGATTAAATGTATGGCTTCATATACCTAAAACACACGTGTACAATGTTCAGATGGCTCTAAAATAGAAACTTTGAAAACACTTAAGATCCTCTTAATATACCCATCACAAAGACATCAACTGCTTTTTTGTTTCTTGATTTATAGTTTTACTTGGAAGCAGACAGTGAGATTTCTCCAAGTGGAGCATCGAGTCGTTACGTGTCTTTTTATTGTCGTGCCGCTGTTCAATTCCTGCTTTTATATAAATAATCTTTTTCTAACATAATACACCAGACTTGGATTCTCTTTAAAATTTTCCACTCTGCTGACATCTGAATGCGAGAGGATTTCCCCTTTGCAGAGTTTTGTTTATATTTTTATTTCACTTTTTGGGCTTCAGTAAAGATAATCTGTGAGGGAATTGGGGGAGCTTTCAAAACACGGGCTGCTTCCTGTCATTGTCTGGAGTCTCAAGCATTGTGGACTTCCACCTCCTTCCTGACTTTTGTTTCTGGATCGATGGTGTTGTCTTTAAATAAGTTCAAATAAAAATAAATGTCATAGAGCTGGAAATAGCAACTAGTATCCTTAGATGCAGGTCTTTGCTGTCTGAGCACAATGCTCTAATAATAACAGGCCAACGTAGTCTTAGAGGGTACTGAAGTGTTTACAGCCTGAATTTAATCCCGTCACCTTTCCCTTGCAAGCAAACCCACTAAAGTCACTAGCAGCACTTCTTCTAGGAAGTTATATATAAACTGTGGCAACAGCCAAGCAGCAAGATCTCAGCAGTAAGGGATTTCTCTGTAGCTGAGGATTCTACTCCTGGAATTTCATAGAACGTTTAAAAAGGTATGGATCTAAAGTACAGCGGATTGGGCTTTGAGAATCTACATCACAGTGTGGCATCAAATGTGTTGGATATGGCCCTCTGCAGACCCATGGTATAAATGTTTGTGCATTGTAATGGTGCCTGAAGGTCACAGCTAGGGTTTGTATCATCTTTTCCCTGAACCTTTGCAAGTGAGTGGAAGAACATGATGAAAATGAAAAGGCAGCACAAGGGTAGCATAAACAGTAGGGAGGATGTAGGGCAAAGTCTGAAGGCAAATGCCAGCAAGATTTGTAGATCACTAGTGATATGCATCAATTGCAGGTTTAAACTTTTTCTAACAAAGGAAATGTTGCTCATGTCCCACAGGTACTTTATGTCATTGTTTTGAAATGCAGATGCATTTTGACATCAAAATAAAGGTGTGTCTTAAAGGTGGTTTTATCAGTTTGAAATGGCTACTGAGTGTATGTGGGTAACATGCAAAAGGAAATCATAGCTGTGCTAGGCACTAGTCTGTGAGAAGGAGCATCAGCAGAGGTGAAAAGCTTCCAAAAGACAAAAATAAGGAGAGTCAGAGATCAAATACTGAGGGATCTTAAAAGTGAATATTAAATAACTGTGGGAAAGCAAGTCTTAACGCTACATTTCTATGACTTGAACAGTTCCTAGAGGGCAGGAATATGAGATTTGGAAAGCTAAGAGTTTGCAGTAAAGTGGAAAACAAGTCATAATTACATGAAGTGAAAGGTGGAAGCTGAGATGTTGTTAAAACAAGTCATTTTCAGATGCATGTTTAGTACCCAGTTTCTTAATCTAGAAGTATCCTGAGCAAGGAGAGGAGGTCTTAGCACTGCAGTTCTGTGTGCAAGGCGATCAAGAAGGAGAAGCAGATGTGTTATGTGGGTGCTGGCTTAATCTACTACAGTAGCTGTGCTTACTCCAATGTCAGAGGAAGCAGAAATGTAAGAGGAATAAGAAGGGGTGATGGGTATATGTCTGGGCCACTGTCTGTCAGAGGCTGGCACTGTATCTAACAAACATGACTGAGCATCTTCCTTATCTATGTAATGATCTAATTCAATTGTTGTGTTTCACAACAGAGAAAAACAGAATTGACTTTGAAAGCAAATGCATTTAAAAACTGCTTTTCCACTGTTTTCAAACAGGCACGAATTTCCTTCAGCTACCTGGTTCTTCACTGCTTTAGTAGAGGAGAGCAGAAGAGCAACATACCTGAGCAACATTTTGAGCTGAAGTGCCTGCACAGACTGCAGAAGGCAAGTCACTGCTGTGCATCTCTGACTGTGCTGTATCTTTGGAGATGGAATGGCTAAAAAAATAGAAATGAAAAACAAAGCAAAAGCCCCAAGAGCCAGCCTCCCCCAGCCTGGATTTTAGTACACTGCACTATAAAAATACCTTTTCTGATTTAGAGGTTTCTGTGTTTAAGACTGTGGTAGCTAATAAATCCCTGACATCTGAACTGTTGGGAAGCAGCATGCACAATGAAACAATATTGTAGTTGCAGAGTGATCATAATATATATTTCTAAGGTTAGTTGTTCCACGTGTGTATTTAAAATTCTTTTGTTCTTTGCGTCTCCTCGCAAATCTAAACAGTGCTCAGATGAAAGCTGTGGAGTAGGAATCTGACTTAATGGTGCCTACTTGGCTCTGTAGCAGGGCTATAAGAGGGTAATAAAATCCTTGTAGGATTTGATGAAATCAGATAGAATGAATGTAGCATTAAAGAAAACAAAGGACCCATAGATAAGCTGAATTCTTGTTTCACTTCAATTATTTCCCTTTTAATCCAGTGTAAGAAGGAAAAAAAGATGACAACTCTGGCTTACTGTTGTTTGAACACTGGGATAAAGGTAGGGTCAGTGCCCAAGCCAACTGGAAAATGAGATTCTTTCTCATGTTTTCACTCCAAGCTGAATTGAAGCTTATTTTCTGTTAGCTAGTGGGAATCCTTTGTTGGCTTGAATTAACAGCACTGCAATCAGAGACCAGAGAATTGCACAGTGTCCATCTTACATGAAAGCTTGCAAGAATTTGTTGTAGATCTGGCTGAGAAATCTGTCTGTGATGTCCAACAGCCCTCAGCATCCAGAAGAGTTCTCTTACATGACAGCACAGCAAGCTTCTTAAAATGGGGTCTGGGAATTTCTAAGGATTTTGGAATACACCCCACAATACAAGGGGGCATGTTAAAGCCTATTAAGGGTCACTTAGAATAAAATGAGATAAACTACAATGGTAATGCAAACATTTTTGACTAATTTGTTCTTGTTTCAATGACCTCTTTGTAGTTAACTGTGTTGTGTTTGCGTGTAACTTGCAGAAATGCCAGGCTTTGTTTTGGGGTTCACAATGCACAATACTTTTTCAAGCTGATTTTCCTCATGTTTTAATCCTGAGCTATGGAGTTAATTTTATTGGTTTGAATTGTGATGTCTAGCATTAATAACGCCTTTCAAAACATCATTACTAAGATTTGCTATAGGAACAGCACTGACATTGAAACTCCTCTCTTACTCTTTCTGGAAACTATGTATGCACAAAGTGAATGAGTCAAAATTAAGACATGCCATCTGATTATAACTCAATGGGTGGGAGGGACAAAGTCCTTGTGCTTTGAACTAGTTAGATATAAATACAGAGCTAGCTGGCAAAGATCTGCTCAGAGGAATGGGAGGCCCCAGATAGTGGGAAGTACTCCCAGTATCCTAAATAATAGACACTTCAATATAATTATTAAGCCCAGTGTCCTCTGGGGAGAGATTAAAGGATAGCAGAGTGGTGCAGACTTCTAAGGGAGGAAATATTTCTTTTCAAGGAGAAAAATGAGAGAAGACTCTAGAGTGAAAATTAAGGAGGTAGAAATCCTCATAGTCAACAGAGGTTTACACTGTTTAAGCATACTATTGCAGGGCCATAAAAGGCATACATGCAGTATATCTGTAGGCAAAGCAAAGTGAAACAAAGCAGAGGGTGAACAGAAAGTTACATTTTGAGATCTCGTTTAATCAGATAGGTCAGTTTCTTGTTCTGGAAGCTGAAGCTTGCTAGAAATGAGCATGGAGGATGGCAAATAATTTGAGAGTGAGGAGAAGGACCAAGTACCAAGTAGCCAGTAATGACAAATAACAAGTTTTTAAATGTATTGAAAACTAGAAGCTACTTATGGAGAGCAGTTATGGCAAACAAGAATTTGTTTTATGATGCTTTATAAGAGCTCAGAAAGCTCAGAATTTACAATACTGATGATGTTAAACAGAAATGTATGTGTGTATAGGTGTAAAACAACCAGGAGAATCAGTCCCCTGGAAAAGGAAGAAATCAGTGAGCTCCCCTCTTTCTTCCTATCTTCTCCTTTATGGACACACTTGCCTATTCCCCTTGGAAGCAATAGTAAGATAAAGGAATACTTAGGTCCCATTATTTACAAAATATAAGTAACTTTCACTTTGTTAATACCCAAAGAAGGGTATATCCCAGGGCAGCTTTGGTTCAAGCACTGTGCAGTATCTGAATTCTTCAGTCATTGCCTCTTCAGAGGTAAACACTTGACCTGTTGTAGCTGTTCTGTACAAATCTTCTTTACAAAGAAATTACTGAATGACACATCTTGAAAGGGGAGCATCAGGCTGGGTGTTAGGAAAAGGTTCTGCACCAGAGGGTGGTGAGCATGGAACAGCCCTGAGTTGCTGGAGCTCAAGAAGCATTTAGACAACGCTCTCAGACACAGGGGTTGGGTTAGGGTGGTGCTGTCTGGAGCCAGGAGTTGGACTCAGTGATCCTTGTGTGTCCCTTCTAACTCAGGATTATCTATGATTCTGTGATAACCACGTGATGTTTTATTTACTTTTATTTTTGTGAGATATAATCATGTTACTGCAAAAGGGTAATTTGCCATTCCTAGCCAGTTCAGATCTGGTTTCTATGCCTAATCTACCAGCTGAGCAGGGATATGCTGATGCAGGGGCAGCTGCATAATCCACATCTCCATGTGACCAGAGTCACCAGGTAGCCCTGGAGCTCAGCTGCATGCCATGCTCAGACCTGTCTGACCATGACCCAGGAGGACTGATGGGGAACCACTGTCCTCTTCAACCTCAAATACCTTTGTGGACCGCTCCCGTTTCATCATTTTTCATACATCTTGCAACATGAAAGTTTTGTTATGAAGCTTACAGGACTGGGCATTTTGGTCTGCTCTTTTATGGTGCTGCTTTTTTTATTATTATACATACAGATCTAATGCTTTCTGGACATATACATCTTCTGTTTTCAGTCTTCATAACTTCTTGTTGGAGGAGGACTAATAGTTCTTAGTTCTCTGTAGGCACTGGGGTTGATTCTGGTCTCAAGACAGTGTAAACTGGGAGAAATGGAATTGACATCAGGAGAATTATTCACGATCACACTTGTATTTGCAAAATGACTTTTCATATGATTAAAGCATTAATGCAGAATGTTTTAAAAATATTCGAATGCAGCCCTTGGACTTGGCTCAAAGGTGGATTTTTTGGAAAGTTTGAGCAAAAACATTTCATCCATGTGTGAGGAAAGTGGAAAACTATTTTTCCCTTCTGTAAAGCCTTTTTTCTTTTGAACAGTTCTGCAGCAGAGTGGCTGAGGCTTGTATGTTAAAATTTGGCATTGAAATAGCTGTAACTGCAAAATGTCTTGGTTTTGGCTTTTATTTGACTGAGTTAAGAGCCTCAGAAAATATTATGTACTCAGCATGCATTTCAGGATTTCATTTCCTTCCGCAAAGGTTGTGAAGGATGTAGTCAAGAAGATTTGCTGTGAACAAGTACCTGAGCACGGCACAAAACCAGGGAAAGAGACAGCTTTGAAGCAACAGGGATATGAGGAGTTAGGAAAGGAGCAGAAAGCCTTGTACAGCATTTACCTAAAGAATGGTTTTGGTGAGTTTGGTGATATGTGTGACTGAGACTCAAGCTCCTAGGACCTGCTGCCCCCGCTCCTAGAGGTTGTTCCATAGAACTGGAGGTTCCTGCAGGCCAGGCAGGGAGCAGGTTTGAGATCAGACTCAGGTCCTGCAGCACAACTTACACTCCTTGGAGTCAAAAGGTTCAGGGGAGGTGAAATGAAATACGCCTGTGCTTCTCTATATGATGTTGCAAGTGGTGCATTTTGACGGTGATGTGCCCGTAGTTTTGCAAGCAGCATTGCTTTGAAGTCTTAACAAATAGAAGTTTATGCACTTGCTGTTCTTGAACGAAATAGATATGCCACTCAGATCAGAGATTATACAAAAGCACGCCATACCCTATTGGGCAGCATAGTTTGTGAAATCGTGCATGCTTATCTAATTGCAATCACATGTGAAATGAGAGGCCAAGGGAAGGCTGCACGTGCTTCCTCAGCTACATAATTTTTTGACTTAGCGTTGTTAATTATGCAGCCTTATGAATCATTAATTTAGTTTTGTGTATGGGAACTCTGCTGAATTTCCTTTGACATTTTACAATGAAGCTGGTTAGTATTTCCAATTACTTGAAGGCCTCTATTTGGTTTAGTGTCAATGAAGACAGAGAACAATGAACTTGTATATCTGATTCTTTATTGAGCTGCTACTGTGTTGTTGCTTACATCTTTTAACACTGGCCAGGAGTAAGGAATGCAAAGGCTGCAGGCAGTGAAAGATCAGGCATTCAGTATATAATCTAACATTTCTTTGATTAGTTAGTGATTTGAAACTCAAATTTAATTTTTGATCCCAACAATTTTTCTTCTAGGCTGACACGTAGTGACAGTGCATGTCATTTATTTAAAGAATGTAAAAATCCAAATGAATTTATTTTCAGTTAAGGAAGACAGAGGACCTGACTCACCTCTGTAACCTTTACATCAGCACGTGGTATGTGCAAAGCTCTGCCAATGTACTGATGGAAATGACTGCATTAGGTGTGTGGCTGAGAACTGCTCTGAGAGGTCAAGGACCTCTAGCACAGGTAAGACTGTAGCATGCTGATGTTGAGCTGATCCAAAGGACTCCCTGGCAAGCTGTGTAATTGACTGGACAGCAGGAGCAGAGGTGAACTAGATGTAAAGAAAAAGCAAGTGATTTTTATATGGTAGCTGTAACCAGCCAAACTACAGTTGAGAGACCACAATCATTAAAGCAATATGAAACTGGTTTGTGTTTGCATTTCTGCAGTCTCTGCACTGTGTGGCCTTTGTAGCTCACCTGCATGTGAATTTTCTTAGCTTTTAAAATAGCTTCAACCTCAAGAACTGCAGCACCTGTTCAACAGAAGGCATGTGGCTATAAACATAAAACAAGAACTAAATGTGGTTATAAAGAAGTCAGACCAATAATAATTAATGAGATAGTCTTAATAGACACAGTATTTGTTTCTTTTTGTAGACATGCATATCTAATGCACCAGCCATTGCTGGGGTGTCTCCTTGAACATGCTTTATTCTGCATCATTTACTACAGAATGAACACAAAGATTGTCTTATGAAATCCTTTCCTCTGATTTACAGTTGCACATCATTCAGGCAGTGCTCTTCAGGTGGTAACCTCAAGGTGTGCAGGTCTCTGGTACCTGCCTCCTTTTCTTTTAGCTCCACGATTCCTTTCTCACGCAGATGCTGCTGTAATTTTTACATCACCTGGTTACTTTGCCCTTTTCTTTCACTCTTCCAAACGTCTTCTTTTCTTGGATATCTCTGACTTCTGTTTCCTCTGCACCTTCCATTAGGCCCCTAGCAGAAGCAATAAGACTAACAGTTCTTATTTCCCAGCTGGTTTGTAGGTCTTTTGCTTTGTCTTCTCATGAAAGCGCCTGTATGCCAGCTGTAGCAACAGCTGAAAACGAGGAAAAATCATCACTCTCTGACTGGTTTATTTCTCTGTGGACGGTGGACAAATTCTGGTTGGGCTGTAAGTGATCAATGCTCTGCAGTTTGAGAATTTTCCAGGCCCTCACATTTCACTGTGAGAAGTGTGAGGTTGCATTCACAATTTGTATTTCTTTCCTGCTGTAAGAGGGAGGGAGGACACACTCAGATGTGCGAGAGGAACAATTCTGATTCTGCAGGAAGGACAGACGCAGGGCTTGATTATGGCAGCAATGTCATTGTTGCATGTGAACATGATTGGCCAATGTAACACGATGTGACCATGAGTGTGGTTCATTGGTACAGATCAGTTTCATGATGCAGGTCTGCTGGCAGCAATACGGCAGTTCTTGCAGTCTGTTCTTTACTTTTTAATGCTTCCTGCTGTCCTTGAATCCTTTACAGAACATCTTTTAGATTAATCAGAGGCTGCTTTGTCTTCGTGTTTTCCTGTGCTTTTTGATGATCTCCTGATCTCAAATAAGCTGTTGAACACTACATAATTGTCTTAGAATGCGACCAAATGGAAGTAAAGTACAATGTGTGCTTTTCTCCCCTTTCCAGCATTAGTCTGTGTTTGCATCTAAGTAGACTTGTAGTGTATTCCTTACATTCTGCAAGACCAAAACAAATACGTATGTGCATAAACAGGCATGTATGTTTTGGTAAAACCTGATGACTGCAAATGTGGTTGCTGGTCTCTCTGCAATGCAATGTTGGATGAAATGGATACGGTGAGAAGACTCAGTCCTATGGTGGTTGGAGGCTGCAATTTGTCTTAATTTCAGAGTCTAGGCTTCAGTTCATAGAAAAAAAATTAAGATTTTAATTCCTTTGATGTGAATGTTCTAGGCTTGTGCTAAAGTAAGGCTAGTGCTTGAATGCTTTTCTAACTGGTGGGGACTGAAGTAAGATTAAATGAGTTTCTCAGACTGAGTTGCATTGTGTGCTATCCTGGCCATCCTACTTGCAGTTTTCACCTCCCAGCTAAACCTTTTAATGGAAACAGTTTCCAGAAGCTTAATCATGTAAACTGATTTATGGGGATAAATAATAATAATAAAAAAAACTAGATTCAGATTTAAATCAAGTAAATACTGAAGGCTTCCACAAGGGCTATGCTACTTTAATACTGAGAGGTTTTTGGTTTTTTTTTAATTTGCCTCCTCCTTAAAGAGCAACAACTCTTTGTGCAGACAATGAATTTTTCCATCAAGCCAATTCTGATATTTCCTTCCCAGGTCAGTTGTCTGAGGACACAACAGACCCGAGCATCACACTGGATATGTACCATCTTAAAGGCTCACTGTGAAATTTATTGAGCTGGGGAATTCCTTCCTAACAGCCTCTGTCTGTTATTTGCTGGTGATCAAGCTTGGAAATCCCATCTGTGGGAGGGCCTATGCCCTACCTTGGGTGGAAAGTGCTGAGCTTGTCCCTCCATGAGAAGGTGTTCCTTAAGGACCTACTCTGAAATCTGTAATTCCATGGAAGCTAAATTGGGTCAAATGTTTGTGCTTCTTCCCAATGTTTGAACTCACTGCTGTTGTCTTGCTTTTAGAGAAGCAGAAAAAAACCTACCCTTTCTTTTTTGTGTATGTGTATGATTGGTCTCCAAAGTAATGGTGGTGGCACTGGTGCACTTACGTGGCACCAGAACATCATGATAATCCTTTCAGTACAGGATAATTATTTGGCTTTACTGCTGTATCCCTTGTAGCTGGATATCCATTTTCCTTTGCTAACATATGCTTGTCCTATTCAGTAGCAATTTGTTCTGAAAATGCTTGCATGCCTGCTGGGCAAGCTACATGAATTCATTGCAGATTCCTTTTTTGCACCTAAAAATTATTATGTGGAAAGTCATTTGCAAAATCTAAGGCATTCAGAAGGCTGTGTGCAGTTTTTCCAGGAGAAGCTGAGGGACATTGGAAAATTTAGACTTTAATTTAATCAGTTTCAGTCAGATGAATAGGTCTGTATCTGCCTCAGCACATTCTGGATTACTTCAGTATTACACAAACAAACTAATTGCACAGCCTGCAAAATAATCACATCTGTTCACCCGTAACAACGCAGCTCAGTCTTGGTTTTGTGGCTTAAAATAATGTTCCTTGCTTTCATATGCTTCCTCATATTACCAGCTGCAAGTCTCTGAACCAGCATGGCTCCTGAGGTAATTGGTGGTAACACTTGTGTATAGAGATGTCAGAATGTTGCTTGTTGGAGCTCAGCTTCAGGAAAGTGGAACTTTCTGCTTCGATTCTTAGCTCTTTCACTAACTTGGCTAGGTCCAAAAAGGAAGGAAAACCAAACGAGCAGGTGGCACTACAGCCAGCCCGAGAGCCAACCTAAAGTAGTTTAAGGTATTTTGGGATCCTTGTGTTAGCAGCTTGTGCTTGTAGATCAGGGCAGATCAGTGCTTGTAAACGTGGGCGGGCTTGTCTGCAAGCAAGGGACTCCCACACTGGAAAAGAAGGATGTTTTGCTTTCAGTCTTCATTGAGATGGGAGGTGGGAAATAGATAAAGAGATAATCTAGTCACTACAGCATCAGTATGAGAAGTTTTTCTTGCTGGCTAGCTGACAGGTGCCCCAGAGGCTGAGCTGGAAGCACTGTTCCCAGGCAGAAGTCTCATCCACTCGTTAGCAGGTGACAGAAGCACTGAGCCCATGTCTTGCAGGGCAGCGTACCAGGCAGGGCCTCCTGCTCTGTATGTTCAAACTTAACGTTGCGCCGTCATCCAGAGGACTCGGTGGAGGCACAGCCAGCAGCCTCCTGGAGGCTGTTGTTACGATGGTCAGCGTTGGGCTGAGAGCATCGTTGTCGCTTTGCACGGGCAGGAGCAGGACGAGTCATTTTTTGAGGCAGGACAGGTGAGAGTGGCCAGGATTTGTTTCCTAACGTCAGTCTTGCGGGTCAGATGGGTAGGACCTTATTTCCCCCAACCGAGACCTCAGTCCCGCTCCCCTCCGTGTCCGGCGGTGAGGAGCTTCTCCTGCAGCCGCCGCTGGGACCCGGCCCGGCTGCGCACGGGATGCTGGCATCTCAGCGGGCCGGCAGCCGCGCTTTGCTAACAGCTACGTTCCATTTCCTCGCTTCGCAACTTGTAGCAATAAGTTTCCGAAGCCAATCCCGTCTCTAAATCCAGCCACGCGTTCGCTTCGCACCCGAACGGCTCGGCGATGCCCGCGGGGTCCCGCCGAGCCCTTTGTCCCCGCGCCGCTCGGATGGACGCCGTCACGCTCGCGCGGCTGCCGCGATCCCGCCGCTCCGCGCAGGCAAGCGGCGCTCGGCTCGGCCCCGCCGCCAACAGGAAGCCCCCGGCGGGGCCGTGCGGCTCGGGGCCGGGCCGAGGCGGGGCCTGGCGCCGCCGCCCGCCCTCCCGCCTCCCGCGCGGAGCGGAGCGGAGCCCAGGGGCCGCGCGGCTCGGGCCGGCCCGCGGCGGCGGCCGCTGACGGGGCGGAGCGGCGGCGGCGCCCGGCGGCTGCGGCATGTCCCGTCGAGGCGCCCGAGAAGGAACTGAGAATGAGATTGCCGTGGAAAGCTAAAATGGTAACCGGGTCTTCCCGCGGGGCGCGGGGTCGGCTTTGCGACGCGGTGCCCGGCTGCGCTGCGGGACGGAGCCCGGCCGGTCCGTGCGGGGCTGCGGCGGCTCTTTGTGCGGCTCCTCGCCGCGATCGTCCCGGCACGTGTCCGGTTAAAGTCGGGGAGACGCCGCGCTCCTTTCTTTCTCTTCGTTAGCCGGGGATTTTAAAGCTTCGGCTGTGCGAAGTTTTTGCAGCTGGAAATAATAGGTTTTGAAGAAGCGAACCGCAGCGCTTCGGATCCCCGCCTGTCAGAGGAGCGGAGGGTCGCTGCGCTTTACACGCTCGCGGCTTCGAAGTTGGAAGGCTGTCCGTCCGAGTGTGCAACGGTTTTTAAAAGTGCCATTCCTTCCCGAAATGAAAGGCCGGAGAGATTAATTGCTTTAGGGAAGGGGGGGGCGAGAGGGAGAGGGAAGAGAGGCTCCTAATCAAAACCAAACTATTTCCCTAGAAAAGACTTTGTACAACTATTTGAAATATGTGCTAGTCTAGGAAAAATAGCTAAATGGAAAGTCAGGGTATCTCGATACCACAGGAAGGACCAGCTTGCCAAGAATATCTCCAGTGTTCCCTCCGTCTAAAAGTATCCATCTCGCTTTGATTGTTGTGTTTATTTTGTGCAGCCCATCTCTGCCCTCAGCAGCACGGCACCTGGTATGGATTGCGGTCTGCAGGAGAGGGGAAAAGTTCCTTTCTCTGTTTTTCTCTCCCTTTCCCCGCAGAGCTCAATTCAAGACTGGGGCGAAGAGGTGGAAGAGGGAGCTGTTTACCATGTCACCCTGAAAAGAGTGCAGATTCAGCAAGCTGCCAACAAAGGAGCGAGGTGGCTCGGGGTAAGTGAAGCTGGCGCGGTGGCATTTTGGAAGGCTGCTCATGGACTTTGGAGCCTGCTGCAGGGAGCTGGATTTCACACCAATCTCTGTGATATTAACTTCTAGCACTGACTGCTCTCGCAGTTTAAAAACAACAACGCTGGAGCTGTCTGTCAGGACAGTCTGAAAGAACTGTTGGCTCTTCCTCTTTTATTGGTGTGTATAAAAACAGATCTGACCGGTCGTGGCCGTGGATCAGGCGATGCTTAATGCAGAAATAAGGGTTGTCTTTTGGTCTGATCTTAAAAGTTGGGCATTTAACAGTTATTTCAGATGGGCTATGGCTCGTTTCAGTTGCTAGGAGTCTGCTTCATGTACCTCAAGCAAACAGTCACAGTATTTTAACTAATGAGGGTCTCTCAAAAGTTAGCAGAAACTTCTTCCAAGTTTGAGTGAATGTAGATTTGGGTCTTGTTTTACTCTTTCTTTCTGGGCCAGATGAGATGTTGGTATTCCCTTTTACCTGTCAGCATTCCTGCAAGAACTACAGCTATGTGCTCGGTATATTTCAAAGCAGGGAGGCTTTAGCAGTGAGTGAAATAAGCTTAAATGCACACACACTTAATTTGGCATGCTGCTGAGTACCTTTACCTTTGTGAGGCCAAGTCCCCAGCTGATAGAAAATGTCCTCACTTCCCTGGAGTCGCTGCAGCTGTGGCAATCTGAGCCAGGTGTTCAGGAGGTAGCTGTAACTTTGGTATTATTTTATGTTAATAGATTTTCTTCAGGATCAAAGGCAGTCACATAAGAACTTGGTTTGTGATAGTGTCCGGGTTAGTATTTTAAAGCCATTTAAATCTGCTCAAAGATTTATATCAAATAGTTTTCTTGTGAAGTTCCACGTCATGAAGCAATATAGCGATGCTGAAACCACAGTCAAGAAAGATAAGCAAATTTTGTCCTGCATACAGATAGTGCTTCGAATTTCCCCTTTCCATGCTTGCAAGAAGTACACAGAGTTCTACTCAGAAGAGATGATTTCAAATCTGCTTTCTCTGAGATTTTCCATCTCTGTCTGCCGTTTTTATACCAGGGTTGATAGAAAAATAGTAGAAAGTATTTTTGCACTCCTGTAAGATTCCCAGATGGTGGCTTTGTAAGACATGGAGGTCACTGTGAGTGAGCCCATGTACCAGAAGCATCCTTCAGAAAAGCATTCATTTCTCCTGTTTCAGACGTGTTGTTTTGTCTGTGTAGAAGGAATCTGCTAAGCCTTGATCATATTCTCAAAGGAAGAACATGTCTGTGTTGCTCAGACTGCTGGCACAGCTTATGGTGCTGGTCTCAGTAAGAGGACAAGGGACTGCAAGGTCACAGAGGTGGCTTTTGGCTTTCTATGTCTCATGCAAGCTTCTTCAGGTCAGATGGAGCCCTGTTAGTGGGGCAGTGTGTCACCTGTGCTGGGCATAAACGAGTGACTGCAGCTTCCAGGCTGGCATCTTTAATCAGCAATAATCTCATGCTCTTTCTTTAAAGATATTTTTAAACATATGGGTTTTTTTGTTCCCTTAAGCTGTTCAGAACAGAAAAAATTTTAAGCTCTTTGCGATGTTGTTTTATTAATGGCTCTACTGTGGTCCTAAGGCCAGCAAATAGCCTCTAACTCAGGACGTTATTTATGAATAGGCATCCCCACCTCCTGTGGTTTTGCCCTGAAAAGCGTATTTGTCTCTTTTGTAATTGCCATCAGGTGATTGCTTATTCATTTATTTATTTATTTATTTATTTATTTATAATCTGGAGCTTACAGGGTTTTATGATGTATTTTTTATTTTTTTCCTCAAAACTTTGAAATTCATAGAGCTTAATTAAAAAGCTGTTGGATTCATCAGTGGCGGCCCTTCTTGCTGCAGACATTCACCCTTAGGTTGAAGACTGGAGGACATCTGAAGAGTATGGGAATAATGTATTTGTGCATCAGCAAGTATTGAGCTGTAATTCTAACAAATATGGTAACTCTGTCACTGATTATGTGTGGGCTAAGGTTAGAAAACAGTGACTTATTCAGTGTCAGTTTGTATCCTGCAAAGGTCTACTTAGTTTGACCTTCTGTGAGGCACTGAGTTTCTGATGGTTTATTGCAGAGGGTCAGATGCCTTGTGACATGAAAAGCCAAAGTTCTTCAAGAACTTCCATGTTGCATGTGGATATTGAATGTTGTGTGGCATCAGAGTAGGGGTTTGGTTCAGTGATTCTGGAGCGGTGGTGCTGCGTTTGTAAACTGCTTTGGAGACGTTTCAGCTGGAAAGCATTAGGTGGTGAATTACTTGATGTGTCCAGGGATGAATGCCTGCAGGGATGGGGCATCCACAGCCTCCTTGGGCAACCTGTTCCAGTGCCTCACCACCCTCTGTGTGAAAAACTTCCTCCTAATATCCAACCTAAACCTCCCCTGTCTCAGTTTAAGACCATTCCCCTTGTCCTATCACTATCCACCCCTGTGAACAGCTGTTCCCCCTCCTATTTGAAGTTGTGCATGAAGTCATGCACGTTCTTGAAGAGGTACCAGTAAGTGAATGACCTTAGATTTTTTATATTTCAACAGGACTAATACACTTTTCTTAGAATTCTATACCCTAACATAACCATCCAGGTTTCTGAATGGTCATCCCTGCTGTGAGGGAATGCTTAAAAGTCCACTGTAGGATTACAGTTTAAGCACCGTGACCACTTGTTTATTTTCAAACTTCTATAATTAATAAAAGGAGAAGATAAACAGGCTGTGACTTACGCAGTCGTCAGTAGTTCTGTATCTTTCAGAAGCGTGAAGCTTTTGTATAAACACCACATTTTCAGCTTTAAATTGAATACAGACATCAAAGGATGCCAATAATAACTAGTGGTTTTGTCATTAAATGCTTAGTCACTAAATATTTAGTGAAGATTAAGACTTTAGGCACTACAGTATTAGGGAGGATTAGTAACCCCAGTAGTAGCTCAGTGTTGTAGATGCTGCACAAAAGGACTACCCTGCCCAAAAGGAATGTACAGACTAAGTATCAGATAAGGCACATATGTCTGTGCACATATGTTATCTCTTCTGCTGGCCAGTATCTGAGGCAGTGCTACGAATCTCACAGCAGTCTTGGTGTTTTTCAAGTTATTTGCAAACATCAAGGCAACAGAGAGTCTTAGGAAAATTTTCCAAAGCTGAATGTTTCTTCTGGAGGTGTTTAAAAAGGATCCCTAGTGAGCATGAAAAGTTCAACAAGAGAAAGCATGAAGACTGACTTTCTTTTTTTTTTTTTTTTTAAACCTAAGTGGGTGGAAGTGTCTCCAGAATAGATGTGTGGCAGAAGGCATCGTCGTGAGAGCGAGAGAGGTGGTGTGGAGACTGGGAACAATCCAGGAACCATGAAGGCCATGGAAACAGACTGATGACCTTACTTGTGTGAGAGAAGGATGGGGAGGCAGAGAACTGTATAGATGGATGGGATGATAAGGGCCAGGTGCTTTTTGAGTGGATGTTCAGCATCATTTTGAATGAGACTACATCAGGCTAGAGAAAAAGACCTATCAGTAACAGCATTAGAAGGTGAGAGGGAGCAGCAAAGAGTTTTAATAATATGCCTAGAAAGAGAAGGTTGAATAAAAACTATGACACAAAAAGAACCTAAAAAATGAGATTGAGCTTACTTTTGAGGATGTAAAGGCAGCCCATAGAGAAGCTGGCACCCTGCATGTCAGACAGGACAGTGCTATTGTGTGTGAAGAAAAGGCAGCAAGGCAGAAAAGGCAGGTGAAATGTTTAGCATTCTGTGGTCTTTTTTTGGTCTTGAACTGTCAGCCGTGTACTTGTGAAACAAGGCTGAGAGACTGGCTGAATCATACCGTAGCCAGAAGCAGATAAGAGTAGAGCTGTATAAGTAGATCAGCTTCTGAACACCTTAATTTCTGTTGCTAAAAGCAGTATGCTGACTGAGTACGAGTGCTGGAAAAGGTGAACTCCAGCCGATGGCTTACTGTAAATCACAAACTGAAAAGTAAACAGGGAGTTGAAAGGAAAGGGAAGAAGCAGCAAGTAGCTGGAGGAAGAGAAGGAATTTTTTAAGAGGTGATGTACTGAAATAAACTTTGAATGGGAGAAGTGAGTGATGAGAATGTGAGAGGCAAAAGGTCCAAGAGAGGGAGTTGTGAGGGAATGGGATGGGATCTGTCAGATGAGTGACAGGATCAGAGGAGGAGCGCAGGCATGAAAATTCCACAGTTGTCACACAGTAGAAATGAAGTTGCTCAAGGTATCCTTTGCAAAGAGGGATGAGGAAGATGAGGAATGGAGAGCTTCAGGAGCGAGGACTGCAGATGTAGAATGAGATTAAATTGAAATACTGAATTTTTTTGGCTGTGAAGAGGACAAAAATGAAGCAAAAGGGAAGGGAAAAAAGGTTTTACTGGTGAAGATAATTGGCCTGGTGGTTGTGTGTGTGCCAGGTGCCAGTGGGTGCGTCCAGTGAAGATGCACCAAGGCTGGGGGTGAGCAGGATGGACCCTAGAGAGGTGGAAAGAGAAAGGGATGAATGATGTAGGACAGTAAGGCAGGAAGAAATGAATGACTGTATAAAGAGCAAAGACAGTTTAAAGCTACCTCAGTGGAGGAAGATCCTTGGTAACTGACAAAAATTGAGCCAAAGCAGTAGATACTGCTAGGAAGCAAAGAGAAACTGCTGGTCTGGAGATAGCTGCCTGTGGGAGTTCTGCAGGTCAGCCTTGCTGTCAAGTGTTCATTAAGGTCAGTGACAAAAGCAGAAGCACGCTGACAAAATCTAATGGTCTGGCAGAGGAGAAAGCAACGAGAGGTTGACATTTGGGATCGGTGTACCTGGAGCAGGTTGAGCACAGAACACAAAGACATGTTTGTGAAAGAATTACAATTTCTGCTACAGGCTGATATCCTTGTCTTTTTTTGTCCCTTCCAACTTTGGGCATTTTAGTCAATCAAAGTGCACATGACCCACGAGGAT